CACAGAATGGTTCACGAAAAACCCTACAGTAAGTCAGCATAATTTTATGGAAATCTGCCAAGAGGTTGAAATACCAGGAGATCGGGTTTAGCGATTTCTCATCGTCTTCAGGGTTGCGCAATGTGCAATGAATTCACACGGGAAACACAGAAGAAAAGTGAAAACAATCTCACCAACTAGAATTTGAAATCGCGTTTCCAAAACAAGCCAGCTCAGTCAGGCAATTATACAGAAGTAACTCCTTTCACAATATCATGGGTCTGAATGTGCAAAGAGCACAGAAAATTTCAGGGAAAGAATGCTAGCAAAAATTTACATTTACAAAAAGAAACAAAAAGTAGTTGTATTAAGTTCCCCGATCACATTTTAGGGAGATTTCCATGTTCATGGAACTCAAAATTAATTTGAAGACAAAAACTGCGGGATTGTACGGAACAAGGTGATATAAATAAGGAGAATTGATTGAGTGAACCGAATCACTTTGGAGTCATCACTAAGAAAAAATGTGAATTGTATTCGTGAAAAAAGCTTTTGAGCGAGAAATACTCCATGTTTGGTATCTGAGCAATGAGATTGCTTTGAATTTCCATTAAGACATCCTGATTTGTTGTAAATAACTTGCACAGAAGACCACCGTATGTTCTGCTCGAGGTTGATGCCAAATCTAAACCACTATGGGTTAAATGAATTCTACTGCAGGTTTTAACCGAACACTAGTAGCTTTAGAAAAGAAAGGGACCTAAAGTCTTCTCTTATAACTCGATGTAGTATTTATACTGGTGTTAAGGCATGTGTGATTGCACGTAATCCATTGGCGATCATATAAAGCCGAGGCTGCAGATTCCAGATCAGCTAAAGTCACAGAAATCTCGACGCCTCACTTTGAAAAACAGCCCAGTGGCGAAGCGGTCATGCACAACTCCGACATAATCTCATTTTCGACTTCGGAATTTTAGTATTGGGTCTTTGATGACTGATACCGTAACACACTCACTGGGAGGTGAATTTTTGAGGGAAAATCAGCGTCTTGATTGGAGAAGGTGAGGGGGACGTGGTGGAGACACTCATGCACGTACGTGTGTCACGGCTTGCAGATGATTCATACCACTTTACTAAGCGAAGGTGGTGGGGGGCGCTGCCAGCTGTCCTCACCTGCGGGTAATTTAGTTCCACAGCCAGAAGGGGGAGGATACTCAAAATGCGAGTTACTCGTAGGCGGAGTGGGGCGTACGCGTGTCATGCTATCAGCTATGAGAAGGTACATAGGGGGGGGGGGGGAGAGAAATGCTGTTTTCCCTAATAATAAAACTGCCGATATGGGCGCAAGCGTGCATGCCGATTTTCGCAGACCATTTATGCCTAATTAGTTAGTTGAATACAAAATGACACAAAAACAAAAGGATATGTTATTAACCAGAATGAGTTAACAGCCGCACACGACTAAATAAAAAATTTTCTATATTTAAAAAAGTAAGTCAAAACAGTAACCACCGGATTGGTTCCACTTAGTTAAGGCGTTAATAAATTTTACCGCAGGTTGAGCATAATTACTGCACCAAGAGTCGACCAATAAAATTGCGCGCTAAGCAACATTGCTTGATGATCATAAGTAAATTGATGAACTACTTCAGATGTCGGGTTTGCATGTTAAACATAGGCTAAAGCCCATAAAATTGAGTTTAAACTGCATATGCATCATTTACAATTGCGAGGTCAGGATTGAAGATAATTTTGCGACAAATGCAGCACAAATTATTGCCGAAGTAGTTTAGGTCACATAGGTTTGATAATAAAGCAAAACTTCTACTTGAAAGATCAACTGGTTCCTTACCAAAAATCACTCGAACATTAAAACGTTTGATGCGACTCGATCAGTGAAGACCCACAGCAAAGAACACAGAGTATTTAGGGAAGGTGAATGTGTCTTGATCAAGCACTGGTCTCCATTTCCAAAAGACAGAGATGGTAACCACGTTAAGAGGCTGGGTGCTTCGTAAACATGCCAAATAAGGTCATTTTAGACAAACACCTACTAAGACCACATTGCATTATACTCATGAGGATAACCAACCTTTAGTTAAGACGTCACGTGAAACAAAACACGAATCACAACTGACGGTGACGTTCACCGAAGACAGAAGACTAGTAAGAGTTGAAACTCAGAAGTAGAACCAGTGGCCAGAGTCCACTGATGGAGGCTTGCCGCGTTTGAGCGGACTACATGGAAATCTTTCACTCCGTATAGGTGCTAAGCAATTAAATAGTCAGTGTAGTAGTTGGCGCTCCATGTTGCAGCAAAGTCAAATTTAATCTCAGAGAATGTCCAGCACAGTGTAACAAGGAATCCCTTGTAAAAATACATAGCTCAATTTGAACATGGTTGCAGATGCAGTTTGAGTCAAGACGTTTTGCTGAATCATTTTTGAAAATAGTGGCGTTTGACAATAAATAATGTTTTCACAAATGAAATAATTTAGTTTAAATGAATGACAACAAGTTTTAAGCCTTTACCGCTACATTTCTTCACCTAATTCATTACCCTTATGTTAAAAGTGTATGGAATCGGAGTACTAAGCTAACTATGACACCCATCTATGACGGAGTCAAGGCTGAGTGCTGATGGTTGTTTTGTAGACTAAGGAGGTTTATAAAGACATGTTGGTCAATTCTAGCACTTCCATTGTCAATAAAGCTTCTCGTGATTTCTACGAAGGAGTTTAAATAAGCCCTTTGGGTCAGAATGTGGGGAAAACTGTCTTTATTTATTAATTAAAGCGTTAGTTGAAATAACTTGGTCTTTATCACTCGAGATAATCGGATGTTTATATAAAGGTACGTCCAACGGGGGTAATGCATGAACTTTAAAATTCTTTGGGTATTTAGGAAAAAAACGTTTAAATAGTTTTTCAAAGGTCCGCTTCGAAATACTTTGAAGCAGTTCAATAAATAACATTTTAAAGACATGATACGAGAAGTCAGGAAAGGTTAGGCATTTAGAATAATAGGTTGAGAACTCAAAGAAGAGTGGACGATAGGTATTTTAGAGTCCTTTACCTGCCCAATCGCCAAAACTAAATGAAATTAATGTGAACACGGTAGAGTATGCATTTTTAGAAATGTTTTCGGCATGATTCTTTCCTAATTTTAATTATGTTGTCGTTAAATGTGAGGGTTAAATCTCACCAGAGTCAAACCAAATCGACACAGTCCTACCAAGAAAGTAGAAGTCCATTGAAAAGACGGGGCCAAACAGAATACTTGACCTGGCGGGAGCGCTACCCTTTAGCATGAAACGCGTAAGTTTACACAGGAACTCTTAGCATTTAATCATTAAACGAAGTAAAGTAAAGTGAATTTGGGACAATCGATTGAAGTCAAATTCTCAACTGGCTGCTAAGGGTATTTATGAAAGAATTTAATACGTCTCACATAGACGTGGTGATCGCCGTCAAACCTAACTTATAGTTTTACAAAAGCCTAATTTTTACACCAGTGAGGTGCAGTTTCTCTCACTCCTGGGTAACCCCTTAATGTCTCTCAAGAGTCATCGGGTATATTATGGTTGGCTAAAGAAATCGTAATACGCTATTAATGAAGGCTAAAACAAAATACTATAAGAACCCACCTCCTGAAAAAAATGTTTAAATGATCATCTCAAGTTGACAAAGTAATTATCTTTTCAGACACCATTCTCAGACACGTGAGCTGTGAGCTTTTCCTGATCATACTGTTTAGGAATTTTTTACGAAAACAAGCCCTTTTAATGAGCTTGTATCAGAATATGATAACCTATTAAAAATATCGTAATTTGTCCAAATACTTAAGCCTAAGCATTATTAAATAAATAAATAATAATTAATTAGGCCTAAGCCTTAATAAAAAAATCGGCACTAAAACCAAGGCCGAATGAAACAGGCAATGGCCAATCTGCCTAGAGCGAAATTAGGAGTTTCAAATCGCTCTGTCTGATACTAAAGGCTCGTGGCTTAAGTTCACTTTAGCATTAATATAAAACGTCAGCAACAAAATTATTATCGAAACAAAAGGATCAGCCTTTTGTTGGATACTAGACAAGATTTATTTGGCACCTGGCTGCGTTTGACACGATAGAGTGAATCAAGAGTCGTTCCATTCCCTTATATTCGTGTGCTGAAAATTCATAATGTGCATCAGAAAATGTTGGTTAAAGTTAAATCAATACTAGAGATTCAGCTGAAACTTATTCCTGCTAAAATGAGTTTTTCTGAGTTGTTCTTATGGTTCTTTTTTGAACTGCAACATCAACCCAATCAAATTTTTAGAGAAGCTGGTAACCTTATTTAACAGTCGTTGTATAAATATTATTGTAGTTTTTATCTAATAACTGGTGTTGAGTACGCTAGGTAGTTTTTTTACGTAGTAGTCTTGGCTGAATTGGGTGTTGGTAGGTTGCTACCGAAGTGTTAAATGTTTCAGCCACTCTGGGTTGAGAGCAAAGTAGTTATATTCCATCCGTCAAGAACTGCAGTAGTCACCAGTCAACCTGCATCTACAGGTATTTTACCTTAAATGTCAAGGAAAATGGCATATTCCATTACAATACCCGTTAGGCTGTAGGCTTATCGAAATAACAGGACGGGATTTTCGGTGACTTACAGGGTAAACATGATTTTTTGTTTGTTACTCTTAAGTTAAGAAAACTCTGTACTTGTTAAACGCTACGAAATCCATGACAATGCAGCATAAAACGACGTGCAATTTTGGACTTGTGGATGGCGATATATTGTGTGCATTTTTATGCGTAATAATGTCGAATAACGTAGTTACCCAGTAATCGAGGAATGTCGTTTTACAGGAGGTGATTGGATTGAAAGTGAGCTTTAAAAAGTGCACCGAATATCTTCATAGTATCCAAAAGACTGAGGTTGAATATCGGGCGTATTGTATAATGCATCCTGCTTTGGTTTTCGCTCGATTGCGAGCTGTAGTGTGAGGCTTGCCCGTTTTTTGTAGCTATTGTAATGCAACAAGAAGAAGCAGACAAGGTGAAAACAACGGTGGTGAAGCCGATAGTCTTCGGCAACGTCTCTCGATATCTGGGCAAAAAGCGCGAGGAAGATGGCAGAACACATTTATGGACGGCATTCCTGCGCCCCTTTGACCCACACGAAGACATGTCTGCCTACATTCGTCGCGTTCAATTCAAGCTTCACGACAGTTATCCCAACCCTGTCCGTATTTTTAACAAACCGCCCTATGAGTTAACTGAAACGGGTTGGGGAGAATTCGATATTGTGATCAAAGTAAGGCCGCTTGTTGTATAATATCTTAATATCTGCAAGGAATGAGAATTTTATGTGCGTAGAAAAATCATTTTTAGTCACGTATTTTTTCGGAGGACTCCTTCCTTAATTTTGTTTCCATAACCATTGGAAGAGAGACTTCCGCCAGCATTTGCAGGACCTTGAGGAGTATATACCAAATTTGAAGTGGGTTTGGTGCCAAATACATGAGACTTTACCTGCACTTGTGCAGTTACGGTCCTGCAAACCGTCATATATTCAGTTTGGTTTTACCAATCGTGATAAAATACGATGTACTATGTTTTTGGATTATCCACAGCTTTAACCCAGAAAAAATTCCTAGGGATTTTTCCTAAGATTAACCCAAAGTCAAGTTGACCCATATAGGCTCTGTCATTTATTGGTCAGAAATTTTAGGCAAACTAATACACTGGTTGATAGTACTTAGAAGTACCATTTGTCAATCTTAAATACTCAAAGGTGAGTCTGTCAAGTAGGTTACGTCTATTCATACATCAATTGTCAGTTGATCTATAAGATTTTTTACTGATTAACAATTGAGATTTTATCGACGCTAGCGATTTTTGTATGTTTGTAGGAGGGCCAAGCGTGTTCCATTATATTTGTGCCTTTTCGTCAAAGCTTTTCCTTAGTGAGTTTCAGCAGACCGAAATTTTGCACATAACAATTTTTAATGCATAATTTTGCCACAGTTTCACAATTTTTCATTGTGGTCCAAGTAAAAGGTGTTCTTATTACCACATTATATTTTTTGGAAGGTCACTTTCACAGACCCAAACATGAAACCACTTGTCATCACGCACCTACTCAAACTCTTCCATTGCGACCACGAGATAATGATGGGTCAAAAGAGTCTTGTTCGAGAGATCTACGACGAGATGATCTTCGTTGATCCCTCTCCAATGTTCTACCGCGCCTTGATTGGTGCGTCTCGGGGAGATGTCAGCAAACTTCCTCCGGTTCACCACGAAACTGATTTCAACGAAACCAAGCATCAGGCGCTTGCTCGAATAGAGGACTTGAACAGAAAGGTCACTGACGCGATTATTGCATACCGGGAACAGTTGAACTTGAAAAAGGACATTGTTGAAGAAGCCAGGGTACTTGCAGATGAATTAGAAACGTCTTGTATGGGGTCGTTGAACTGAAGTTTCGATTTTCTTGTACAGTTTTTAATATTTTTGTTTCCAAGAGATTATTTTTCCAGTTGGGGTGTTGGGTGCCTATTAGAATCAAAATAATAGTCGATTCTTATTAATGAATACCAAGCCGCAATCGAGATGATGCGTTCGCGGATTATAGCCTGTGGGGTTCAAGTAAGGTTTTCGCTTAATTAGAGGCTTAGGCGTCTCTAGGTGTTAAACTGGAATGGTTAGAAGGTCTGTTTTATTTTTGGTGCTGGAAGGTTTAGCGAACCGAGTAACTCCTTAAAAAAGACTAGCATGGGAGTTAACTGTCCAAAAAGTCACTGGCTTCCAGATGACGCACTCTGGTTTCACCAAGACAACATTGGTGAGTAGAAAGCTTGCTCTGGGTTTGCATCACCATCTGACCCTGTAGGAGCACAGGCCGAAGTGCTTAAGTAACCACATGGTTGTGCCCATTATGACGCGTATAGAGGGAGGACGCTGACACGGTTTGTAGCGTGTCATCGAACCTCGGTCATCTTTCGCGTTTAATCTGGCGCCTCCTAGGTCTGCAGTGAGCAGTGTCGGTTCGATCCCATCACCTCTGTCGACGTCTGTCCAGACACCACTGTAGTTCGCATCTGCGAGTTCCGAGACATCGTCCTGTACCACAGACCTCGTCATTTAGCTTCCTGTCTGTTTGTTATTGCACCATCTTCTGTTGGCTAGAACCAGACATTCCATTTTCTGAGCATATCTGAGGCATAACCCCCTCGTCTTACCTTCTAAGGAGTACTTCATAATAAACCAGTGGTCACAACGTGGATTTAGGTCTCCTGTCGGTCACAAAAGTAACTATTTCTGAGAATGAAGGTGACACTTAACCACTGTTTTCTTTTGTCCCAATTAAATGGCCGGAAAATGGCATAATCTATGCTCCTCGCATATGGAAGTCTAATTAACCGCTTGCGACCTGTACTAGATATGGAATAATCAGGTAATCTTTAGAGACAGAGGTCATTCAGAGCAACCAGCAAAACTCGACCTCGTGCGTGGCCCAAATACACGTGAATAAGAATCATAGTTTAGAGTTGACACGGAATGTAGTACCTTTGTTGTAGGGAGCGTTCATTGAAGGTAATTGCTGGCAGGGAGCTAACGGCACAGTTTAAGAGGTTCTGATGGGAATCATGATTTCTGATCTAGAGTTACAGTCAATTTTTCAGAAGATAAAGCCAACTTTAGTCAAAGGTCACGAAATGGTCATTAGCAAGACGGTGAATTGACCGAATTTTGGGGGAGGACAATGATAATGACTCCTGAAATTTCAGAGGTGGCAATCCAAAGTAAGCTTCTTCGCACTCCGATACTCTGTATCACCGCTATCGCCTATTTACCTATATCAATTTAGTCATTTTTCTAAAGTTGAACTCCTCTCACAAATATACCGATTGTTCGTTAAAATCCCTATGAATAATGACAATTGGATTACTATTTACTTGTTTTGAAGCACTATTTTATAAGTCCCACTGCTACCGCACGTAAATTTGAAGTTGAGGTGAAATTGTTACGACTAAAGCATGACTTCAGTAGTTTTTGGAGCACTCGCACGTGGCACTGTGAAAGTCAGCAAACCGAGTTGTGCGAACTTTTAACAAGTTAAGTATTACTTCAATTGAGAGTCGGTTCTGCATTTTCGTGCAATGTTGCTAGAAAAGACGAATTCAGCCGTTTGTGTATTCTAAAATCCAACATCGGTAAAGAAATCTGTCCAGGCGTCAAACAACTTGGAGTGGAAAAAGGATGACAATTGAGTGCAGTCCGAAAGCATTCTATAAAACAGCAAGCCAGTCCTTTGTTCGGCTTTAGAATGCTTGGTGAATCTCCGGTGACCTCTGCTTCAGCTACCTAATGTAGTCAATAGTTAATCATCATTCGTTGAAAACGAACCATATATGATCAAGCAAAATAAAATTTTGACAAGCCATAAAACTTGGGAAATTCAATTGAAACATGTAAAATTAACAAAGGTTGAAAGCTTTGTTAATTTTACATATTCTACACAATGCATGCATACACACACAAACACATAAAAAATTGCCTAACTTGTGAACAGCATCAGAAAACGCTACAAATCATTATTGGTGGGTGTGAACACCGGCGGCCTGGAACCGAGGTGGTCGTTCGAGAAGCATTTCGAACTTGGTGGCAGTAATATCCTTGATCTCATCCATTGAAGGTATAGTAAGGATTTTAGGTAGGTGAATCTTTCTGGTCGGGATTTCATGTGACTCCGTAATTCATGCCTTAAAAACGGTGGAAAGGAGTGGACGTGATTTTGGAATGATGGCCGGTCACAGTTTTTGTTTCCAAGACAAGTACTTGAGCTATCAGAACATTTGGGAAGTTTGATAAGAAATTCCATCCGGACATACTTTGTGGCATTACCAACTGTCTTCAACATAGAAGTCTTATATTTTCCCCTATCCATTTAGTGAGTGCTTCTTTCCTGCAACATAAACATTTCTCAATGTTGAGCAAATCACCATAAGCAAATACCTTACCTTAAATGAGGTGTTTAACTTCTGATGCATAAAATGCCTTCCTGAAATAACTCCAAAATGCACCCCATTTCGAGAAACTGAAGAGCTTGAGAAACTGCGTAATTTATTTGCTTGGCCACTCAAAGGTGCACCCGTACAAGCCCCATAGCGATCGGTCGGAGGGCGGGCGCGGGATGCGTTCGTGGGGTGGGATGGAGAGCCTTCAACCTTGGCTCACCGCATCCGTGACTTCAGCACGTTAAGAATACTGATGATGTCAACTGGGCACTTCATTGTGGCTAAACGTTCGTGTTAACCAAGGACTGTTCTTCAAACATGCACAACACTAAACTAAACTCAAGCGAACTTCAACCAAAATTAAAACAGAACAGACTGAATTTTTCTTAAATACGTGTTTTGAGCTTGGGTGACAAGTGCATTAGGGTACCGCATTCAGAATCCTAATTTAAACATTGAATCCTCTCTTTTGATGTTCCTCTAAAATTTACGAATTTTTGACGCAAACATATAGTTGGTAATGTACTCATAATGAGACAAGTTTGTTGCATGTGGAAACATGACGCAAGGCAAAACGAACACACTAAATCACAGAACGACCACAGGCATCTGGGAGCAATTCTTGCCTCGACATGGCAAACCAGGCCACTAAGATGGCTCTTCACTTTCCGTCTGGAGGTTTGCTTACCACTTTTATGTATCAAGTCTTAAGTGTGAAGTGAATTGCTTTGTATCCTCCGATATTACTGAAAAAATTGTGGCATGGTGTGAAATCCGGTGATAATAAAAGTGCATCCTTTAGCACACAGTTGATGGAGGGAGTAATAATCAATCGATTCGCTTGTCATCAAAAGGGATCGTAGGAAAATGAAAAAAAAATCGAGCCATATGCACAGAAAACACACTGGCAAAATAATTCATTTTCAATTTCTAACTGATATATTTTAGTGAAAGAGACTGTACTTGCCGGTCATTTTTTTAATGAAATTTCAATTCATAAAATCAAATAGGGTGATATTAAACAGCCCTTCAGTGTATTCGGACCGTCGAGTTTGCATAACAACCACCTAACAGTCAGGTCTCAATGTCATTAAACCAACTTTTTTTTAATTTTAAGGGGTAACATCTCACAATCAGGAATGACGACATGTCCGACTATTTGAAATGTGTAACCACTTTCCACCTAACAGCCAGATCTCAATGTCCTTAAAACGATTTTTTAATTTTAAGAAGTATTATTCCACATATCCATTTAAAACACTTACACTCTCTGCTTCTTTATTCCTCAGAAATCAGCTCTTCCAAAATAAAATGAAACTAGCTGGCCGAGAAAACACAGACGTGATAGTTGGACAATTTCATTTGTTTCTCCGTTTCCTCGGTCAACCTAATAAACTCTCATCCTTTACCAATTGACAATTTGTTTACTTTTCGTTGTCAGTGGGTGATGTTTTGCAGTTACGTCACTTAGTTAACTAGGCATAAGGGTATCCCATTTTTCGATGAATTTGGGCCAGGCTGCAGCGAATTTCGGTATCTTTTGCTAAAGGGAAAATTATTAACTATACAACAGCTACTTCTACTCTTTACCTGTTAGTAGGGATAAATTCTGCCTGCTTACCGATTTGGCAGATATTGATAATTTTACGGATCCGTCGAACTTAAACACCCTTTTAGGGCTCAATTTTTTATCTGCTGGGTCAGGGAAATTGACCTCAAAAGTACTTATGTAATCTAACTTCACTCATATGGTGAGTGGAACCCCAAAGACGAACTAAAACTTAGTGGAAGATCAGAATTATATTTTGACACATGTGCTGACATGTACTTGATAATTTACACAAGCTTACGCTGCGTAGTAAACCCTACTTATTTCAGGTGATGTTAAGGACTGCGATTTACCACTTGTGTTAGTGTCTAATTTATTTTTACCTTTTTGGCTAAGCTATTGAGATTGTGCCGTGGCTGTGTGAACAGGAGTTAATTGTACGCGAGGATATGCGACCCTGGTCACCACTAGAACTTTGTACTCGGGCGCAACGATACAAGGGCAAAGGTAAACTCTAGACTAAATGTGAAAATTCCTGCCCTGTTGTTTGGATTGTTGCAGTGTTAATAGAGGTTACTAGCGAGTGTTGAGTTAACTCCGAAATGTCCTACACAAGATACACAAAATGGGATCCTCAAGTTCAAACAGATAATTATCAAATACCATGAATGTATCTTAGTGTGTAAATTAGCACATTTTAATCTCATCACGCACCTCAATTTTAAATAGACAATAAAAACTGTACATGAGGAGACAAGCATGAAGTCTGGCGTAAATTCTTGGCTAACCACAGGCAACAACAAAATGCCAATTGCTTTTTTACGTGGGCTTAAATGAAAAGGAGAACCATAACATGAATTCGGGAAATCGATAGCAGTAGAGCAATGGGAGGGTCTCTAGCAGAGGAACAA